CTTTCTGAGATCTTTTATAATTTACAGCATAGGGATGTTGCCTGTGTACTTAGACTACTAAAATTTACTCCTCATAGTTTGTAAATGAGGAGTTCATTTTCTTAAAAACGGTGCCTTTTTATAAACGGATACTCCGACCAATTTGTCAACACATATCACCATCAAAAGAAGAAGAGGCGTTCACTGGGAGGGCTTTATTGGAGATCCGACGTTTCGAGTAGTTGATTCGTCTACTCATCTTCAGAGACTGGAAAGTCCAGCACACAGCTCCCCTTATATGGTGCACTTTGCTCAATAAGTGGCCCGTCAATGCCGCCTATGTAGCTGCATCCAACCCAGCATGTTACCGTGACCTGAATCGCCTACGTCGGCAGCGGGGATAGCAGCAGTGGCTTACGCAGCTTCGAAGTCACTTCACTTTTTCATTCTTATCGTGGAAATCTGTCAAAGCAAGGTCTTCACGGGGGACAGTCACGGCGCGGGACAATCGGGACCGTCAGTCATCTCCGCGGCCGACAGGGACGATTCAAGTCACGGTGACATGCGGGTTGGATGCAACCGCACAGGCGGTATTGGAGGATCACACATTGAACAAAGTGCGCCGTATAAGGGGAGCTGTGCGCAGGACTTTCCAGTCTCTGAAAATGGGTAGACGAATCAACTACTCGAAACGTCGGATCTCCAATAAACTCCTCCCAGTGAACGCCTCCTCTTCTTTTGATATGCCACCTGGGAATCGCATTTTCACTACTATTGACATACCACCATCCTAGGCGAGGGAATTGATAGAAATGGAAGCGTTAACATTTTCACATATATACCAATTCCTTGTAAGGATGCTTATGCGTTAACCGTGACCAAACTACGGCTTTAGTGCACAAGTTAATGGATGTAAATCATCACTAATGTAAAGAGTACTTTTGGTTAAATAAAATGAAGTTGTCGCACGCCTGCATACACGTAGATTCAGAGGCAAATGCATGAGGAATGCAAGGGCGGTTGGAAACGTATACAACGAATCACATGTCAAAGTGACTGCTGAGAGCAGAAAAAAGGGCACCAGGAAGCTCCTTCTCAAAGCCCTTGGTGGACACACGTCACGTGGAAGATACAACGCAGCCTTTAAAGTCCTGCCTCGAGCAACGACTGGGCACCTCCCACGCTATTCACGTGATGTGGCTCACACCCTCCGTGGCAGAAGATTGGGTGGCGCAATTAGTCGCCTTTTGACGATGCCAGCGAAATGGCGAGGTCCAGGAGACAGGCGAAAGTGGATGGACGCAATCGCCAAATTGCCTGTCAAACTTTTTGAATTTACTCTCAAAACCTGTCCCTCCCTCTTATTGCCGTCCCTCTGCCAGGTCCCACCCATATGACTAAATACTATTCCATGCTGTGAAAGCGCAGTCAGACCTGGCGCGATCCAAATGCAATCACACGCGCTCACCTCGTCTCAGCGCACCAGGCCCATTCGTCGATCCGATTAACACTGCTGAAAACTTCTCCCCAGCTGTGAGTCTCCAGTTATTTCCTTTGATTTGTGGAAGTGTTCTGGTAAATGGACCCCCATACTCACTGATAAGAACCATTTCTTGAAGAGCCAGCAGTGGCTTACGTAGCTTCGAACTCACTGCATTTTTTCATTCTTATCGTGGAAATCTGTCAAAACAGAGTCATCACTGCCGGAGGTGGGCATGGACACAGAGACCGAGAATCCAAGACATTTCAGTCACGTCAGGATGCCGGCTTTTGGATGAGCATCTTTTCCGCCGTCTGTAGAAACTGCAATTTCTGAAAAACGACTAATTAAATAACAGGGATTTTTCCTGCTGATATTCTGTGCCCAAAAATTCATTTTGTCTCTTATACTCATCGGACATCAAATTATGTTTTTTTCAAAATGTTTACTTGAGGTGTGAGTATCTTTCGGTTTTTTACAACTTTTTAAATTCTCCAATAAGTTTTCGCCTCACCAGCCGTCAAAATCCTGTTCGGGCTTTTAACCTACATGCCGTATGCATTTCATCAAAAGAATATCTCACATTTCTCTGCGCTGTTAAAAACGATGTCATGAAATTGCCCAATGGAAGTGAGTCGGGATGCGTACGTTATAACAAGCATTTGTAAACGTTTTGATGCGATGATTTATCAAAAGAATCTTTCATGGTCTTATAAATCACATGGTTATAAACTTTCTAAAACCATAAGATACTGTCTGTTTAAGTGGCGAGTTTGAGGAAGACGTGATTTATTATCAAACGAATACAAGAGGAGATGTTTTTGTATAAGTTTTCCGTATAATGTGCCCAAATTTATGTGGGCACGGAGAACCAAAGGGACAATTCACGTTATTCAAGTAGCCCTTTCCGCAGGCTGCAAACTTTGCGGATGGCCGTAAGGAAGCTCATTAAAATACCGACGTTCTGATATTACCAAAATGCTCTAGGACTCCTTTGCTTGTGAATAGTATTGTAATCCGAGTTGGATAACATTTTCGAGTCGAAAACATATTTCATGAGATAGCGCACCTACCCTGCGGATTGTTTCCTATTTCAAATAAACAAGAGAGATAAGTATGCGCTTTATTTTAAAACTAACTTTTGACATCTTCGACAAAAAGGCCTCTATTCACTGTGGCCAAGAGATAAAGTAACAAATTGTGCAAGAGTCATAATGTTTGCATAAATACTGTACGCCTATTATGGGGACAGCTCGGGTTTCGATTTCTGCATTTTTGTCTCTTTGCACGTATTATGTCGTGCCAGAAGGAGCGATACAGAATACTGATATGTTGATGTGCACAAAAGATGCGTCCGCAGCCTGGGGGCATGGGGCGGAAAAAATTCGCAGCCATTCATTCAGGGTGGGCGGGAACGGAGAAAATATTCAGTATTCAATCAGCGAATCGCATGGCCGTTGTGAAATTCTCTTTTATTATTATACCAATTAAAACGGGATAAGAAATGCCGGCAGCAGAAAAGAGCATTTTGGGCGCACAATTCGGCGTCACCATATCTTTTTTAAGAAATATAAGAGAAGGATAATAATCAATGAGAGGGAGGATGCAGGCATCTATGGATCTTCAGACTAGGGATTGAGGTGTGCGATAGGAACCTAAACGACGAATACAATGAAGATTTTCATGAATTTTAGGGAAAAACGATTTCAATTTGAAGGGCGTAGAAAATATTTGATGTCAAGGTAGCTCTAAGTTATCAAAAAGAGGATAGCCCGTTGTGAAGAATATCCAAGGATTCAGGACTGGGCGTTCTTTACAATGAGAAAACTCTCTGGGCCGATTTGTGATTATTGTGTAGAAGATCATTTCCCAACGACCATACTGAGACATGGTCCAGGCCATCCTTCAGGAAACTGGAGATGTGTCTGATTATTAACAGAATGACCAACAATTATATCATCTGCTTACTCAAACAGACAGTCATTTAGCAATCTCAAGTCATCATTGTTAAGGAAGAAGAGGTGGGGGGATTAGACGGAACCTTGAAGAACTCCAGAGTTTTTCGGAAGAACCGTACGTTTCCGCTCACCAGATTGGAGGAGTTGAGTGTGGGAAGTAAACTACTCACCATGTCCAGAGACAGCCTAGGCAGAAGAGCTGTACGTGAGTGTTTTTCGCAAGGAGGAAATGGCGTGGGACAGTACTGAGGACGGGAAGGTGGCCAAAAATTGGTCATGCGTAAGCACGGCAGCCCCTGTCTAGGTCTCTTATGGCAGACTGGACCACAAGAGCAACAGCGTCTAGGGTACTACGCCTGACCTTATATGCAAATTGTGAATAATCGAAAAATAGGAGGAGAACGGTACAATACTATCCAAGAACACTAATTCAGAATACCTCAATTGTGCAGATGAGCGAGCAGTTGAACGGAAACATTAAAAACCAACATAAGTAAATTTCTTGGGGAGATGACTGATTCTTTCTGTACGCCGGGCGTCATGAATCTTGGACTCCATGAAGGACATGTTAACAAGTTGTATCAAAACAGTGGCTATCTGAAAATAGCGAAATTTTGGGAGAAATGGGGAGACACCATCCGGCCCGATAACTATTAATCCACGGATCTTTTCAAAGTGTTACTTTGCTATTGCCGCGGACACAGGTGGGAAGACACATAGTAGCAGGGAAATATCATCTGGGTGAGGGTTGAGTCATTGAGGGCAAATATAAAATTTAATATCATTTAAGGAGCCTAAGTCCTCATCAGCATGTGCCAGCTTGCTAGATGGCAAATGAGGCGCTTAAGATTCCTCTAAATTTCAGTAGAGGAAAGAGGAAAAGGAGGCGCAGAATAAGAGGCAGACAGCTGACCAACAAAGAGGTCGCACCGTCCGACAGCCTCTATCTTTCTTTTTGTTTGGGCGGCAGCGTCCTTTCGAAGAGTGCTTTTTGACATCTTGAAATTTTAGACTGAGACTTTGCATTAATACCAACTGTCATAAGGCCTCAATTGCATCATGAAGTGGTTGAGAGGACTTTATGCTACCGTTCCTCGTTTACAAGAGGTGTGCAACTTATCCTTACCTTTTGATGCGCGCAGAGTTTTGGGCTCAGTGGAGAAGATCACCTCCTTGTCCATTATTTAGCCATGGTATGAGTTACCAACTTCTCAGTTCATTTAAGACAACTTACAAAAAATATTGTTTGGGAAGATTCCTTGCTAGACCATCCGTTCATGTTGTTCTCTTTAGTGGATTCCCTCCTGGCTTTCTAACGAAATCAATATGGTAGTTTTCATTTACACAAAACATAACTTCACAGGACCCCATGCTCCGGTCATTGGTCCTTCTTCTAGACATTGAGGTAAAACAAAATGCATACCAGGAATTGTTTCTGTTAGCATCTTCGTTAACGAAGTGAAGACAACTGAAAGGTCTCAGTGATAGAGTTTGGGAATATAGCAAGGGATATTTCTGACTTGCTTTTAGCCGTTTTTCAGTGATGCGCTTGAGACTTGAACTTGCTGACTCATTGCTGACCAATGCACAACAGTCTGGACGGATTTCAGGTCCATCATCCCAAGGCAAAACTGCAGTTTCCGTCAGTGAATACACGACTTGAGGGATGTCGGGGAGAAAATGCAGGTGATGATGATGATGATGATGATGGTGATGATGATGATGATGATGATGATGATGATGATGATGATGATGATGATGATGATGATGATGATGATGATGATGATGATGATGATGATGATGATGATGATGATGATGATGATGATGATGATGATGATGATGATGATGATGATGATGATGATGATGATGACGATTTTAAAGCATACAAGGACAGCAGGATTTAATGGTACCAGAAAATTTCGCGACGGCTTCTCAACTGCAGCCTGTTGTTAAATAACACAAATACCAAGTGAGAAAGTACAGACGCTTGAATTTCGACAGATAAAATCAGTATTAGTCTACGCGCAGTATACGTTGAACTTGCTGTTTTATATTGATTTTCTCTGTCGAAATTCAAACTTATCTACCTTCTCACTTGTTATTTGTGTTATGCAACGACAGGCTGCAGTTAAGAAGCCGTCGAGAAATTTTCTGGTACCCTGAAATTCTGCTGTCCTTGCTCGCTTTAAGTTCATTCCGGGGAACTACTGCTTCAAGATGATGATGATGGTAGTGGTGGTGGTGGTGGTGGTGATGGCGGCGGCGGCGGCGGCAAGACGGTTTGCCCAGATAAAAGATGCCTCAGTCTCAAAAGTACCACTGTACTGAGTTTCGTGCGTATCTGGTTCCACAGTTTTTGCCTCACCAAGGTCCGAAAATGAAAAGAAAATTAAGAAACTTCTCCCTCGTACAGAGGACCAGTGGACTGCATGTCATCCCCTCGACGAGATCTGGAACAGGGCCTTGTCCTCATGACGTCATTGAAGCGTTCGATTTGATCAACAGAAGCGCCCTCCTGGATGCTTTGGGAACAGCTGATATGCCCTCGAAATTCATGAACTTGGCCGTGTTAGCCGGTGTGTTCCCGAAGATAGATACTACCTAGCGGTTATACTCCGGTGGCAACCTCCATCAGCGGATCAAACTGAATAAGGGTATCCGCTGTCGTGTCCCCATAGACGGAAAATGTGCTTTGGTTCCCATTATCCTTTCCCTCTCCTGGCATTCTGAAAGTCCTACGCAGAGGACGATATGCAATCCCGAGGCGGTCCAGCCTAACTTGGGTCACTCTTTCACCAAACAAAACTCTGACCCATATTGGAGATTGGCAGCCGTCTGAGATGTACCAGCCGCCCATTCCAGGGATATCACTGCTTGCTCCCTCGCGGGATGAGGGGCTTGAAAAGGTGCCCGGAACAAATGTCAAGATCACGTGAGATGCACACAGACCGTTGCTGGCAAATGTACAACTCACGGACGAAACGATAAGACGAGCAACAACCCAAGTCACCTTTCCCCCCCCCGCCCCACCTCACAGGCCGCTTATGTGACTCTGCTCACTCTGGTATCCTGCAATGTTCATTTCCTATTAGACAACCCACAAAGTAACCGACCGGAAAGAAGGATGGCTCTTTCTGACCCAGAAATGGCATGCCTTAATGTGGACGTTGCTGAGCTCAGCAACTCAGCAGAACACACCCCACCTCCCTTCCAAATGGGGAGGGTGGGTGCCGACTACACCTCTGGAGCGACGCAACCATAAAGTCACCCCCACCATCCATGACGATATCCTGCAACGACTGCCCTGTCTGCCGCAGGACATCAATGACCGCCGAATGACATTACCCCTGCCTCTTCGGGGAGCTAGATTTGTTACTATCCTCGCCGCCCAGGTTTCGCCAATAACCAGTTCCGATGAGCCGAGGAACGAATTCTGCGAGGACCTGCACGCTTCCTGAAGTCAGTGACTTCAGTGGTCACGTTGTAACAGACCACGCTGCCAGGGGGAAAGTAGCGCATCCCCATAGAATTGTTGGACGCAGTGACAACGGCCGGACACCATCTTCTCCTGACCAATACTTTCCGCCTTCCAACGCAAGAGCAGACAACCAGAATGCACCCTTCAATCCACGGCCTGCTCGCTAAACTAAACGGAAAGCAAAAAGCCTACGTCAAACGCAGAACCGACGCCAACAGTGTAGTCTTCTTCGGACTTCGCTGAGGAAAATGCTGCACGGAGGGATAGACAGCAAGGCGGAAGAAATCCAGGGGTACGCGGTCTGAAACGAAACGAAGGGCATCTTCGTCCCCCATCAAGATAGTCTACAGATCCTGCACCAGCTGCACCGCGACGATCCTCACTTCGACAGAGCAATAGCCCTTAAGGCAAAATCGCAAACTGTGAAGCGTTGGGCTGAGAGCCTCAGAATTGCTCTAAATTGCCCATTCGCGATCGGTCGACTCCCTTCAGTGAAAACGGACAACCACTTGAGCCTCCCGCCCATCCTTACAGAAACAATCAGAGCCCACACCAGTTGTCCGGCGTGAAAGCACTTAGATCCAACACGATCATGGTGGCTACCGCCCGGTGAACACACTTGCAGCGATACTCCAGGAGATGTGACGCCAATGACAAAGACCTCTGGATTTTGAGGACGTAACAATCGTCCATCCCTAAAAGCGGACAGGGAACCGGCAACTCTGCAGCGAACGCTGAGGCCTTTCCTCCCTCAGCGCTGCAGGTAAAATATTTGTTCTCCTCAATCGCCTGAACACCCACTTGGAAAAAAGATCATCTTCCGGGAAGCTAGTACGGATTCAGAAGAAGCTCCAGCACCATCTGTGTGATCTTCGCCGCCGACCATGAGAAATGCCAGCAGAGTCGGATGCATATCCACACTACCGCCGTGGACGTAAAGAAAACCTTCGGCATGATTAATTATTACGGACCTTAGAAAATTGCACAGAGATTCGGTTGTTTTGGGCGTTTTGTGCACATAGCGCATCAGTTCCACTACGGCATGTTGGCGCGCGTCACCGACAGCTGGCCAGTCTAGTGACTAGTGGAGTAAAACATGTCCACGTACTCGCTCGTACCCTCTTCAGTATCATATTCGTTGCGACGCTGGTGGACGTCTGTCGTTATAAACACCCAGGGTCAACACCGTCTACAACACCGACGGCCAGCTTCTCAATACCCAAAGCATGGGGACCCCAACGCTTCTATCCACGACGACTGCCTACCACCTGCTCTCCGCGGAAGACTTTCCGCTCAGCACCGCGATAGGGGCAGATACGCAACCGAGCACGAATCTCTTTGCCTCTGATTGCGCAAATTCCGGCTGATCAGCAACACGGACAAGACAGCGGTCGTGTATCGGGCGTCACCCAAAGTCAAATACGTCTCTCAAATCATCTTCAGCGGCACGCGGCTCAAAACTGTGGACATTATCGCAAGCAGCATCAAAATCACCGACGAGGCGGCCCACCGGATCTCCAAAATCAGCCGGACTTTTGGCCCCCATCTGAAACTGTCCCAGACATAACACGAAACTCAAAAAATGCAGGCCAGTAGCCCTTACAACCCTATCATACGGGACGGTGACACAGACCGTCTACGACGATCTAACCAGGAAATTCAACCGCATCCACACCAACTGTCTCCAACGAATACTAAGGCCGTGAAGATAATAGACCAGAATCCTCAACATCCACGCCTTACTGAGGCAACTATATCTGTACCTGAAGAGCCATCCCGTGAGTATAGACAACAAGCGTCCATCAAAGCGTTTCCTTCACGGCGGTGTTTTCAAGGTGACTTGTCGACAAAATAGACAATATTGGCGACACAAGCACAGTCTGCGGAGTTTCCTCAGGCATCCACAAGTAAATTCAGCGACCGTGGAAGACTCCGATCAGGGCCGACCTGACAGGAGAAAAGCAGTCAAGACTGGATCAGCAATCTACAAGTACAACTGGATCGATGTTGCCAAAGCCAAACGAGCGACTCGCAATGCTCAAGCATCTTTGACCGACAACATCAACACTCAACCCCTCCCACATGCCCACGCTGACAAAGAGTATTCTGCGCAAGGATTGGCCTCGTCCGACATCAGCGGACCCAACGCAACAACAATAACAACAAAAGCTATCCCATCGTCATCCCTGCAGCAACTCCCACGACGGCAACAACCGTTATCATCACCAGCAATGTGGACTCAAACGTAACCTCTCCCCACCACACGCGCCGTTCTGCCTGGTCTCTTACGAAACCATCACTTAGGGACTGTGGAACGGGTGCCTGGAGCAATAACATGCGCCCACCGCACCGGCATCAAGTGGGCACATTCAGTCGCCGCATTGGTCTGCCCCGCCACATGCGTACCCATGAAAACCTGCTGTAAAATACTATCGCTCGAACCTCATCACCACACATATCCTCATCAGGATACACAGCACACACGAGCGCGTCCCTCATCACTCAGCATAAGTACGGAATCGGTACCTATCAGGCAAGTTGGATTTCTGCTCCCCGGCGACATTTCCATTTGGCCCCATTTGGCTACTCCAGCACAAGTAAGGTCGGGGCAGCCCACACCCCTGATGTGGGATCCTGGTGTTCAGCTTGGGGGTACGTCATGTGCATGGCACAGGCGGACGGGCTGTTTTTAGCTCTGTCAGCCACTGCATCCAATCTTAGCCTCAGTTGAAAGATTGGATCAGACTGATGTAGGGGAGAGGGAAGAGAGAGAATAACACTCAGCGCATATTCCTTGCCATAAACCCTCTGACGCGTTTGAATGTATCACAGTACGCTAAAAGCTGTGGCTTAGAAGGCCGCCAGCGGACATGCCTCTGTGCCCATTTTGCCGTTGGGCTCGCGGTAATCATCGTCAGAAGTGACGTCCGAACTGTCAGCTTCCAAGTCAGAGACACGACCGTTGAATTCGCATTTAGCTGGTCTGATGTTTTAGAATCCCTCTGGAGGCCATCACAAGAGACAATAATAGGCAAAAGCAGCAGCGTTTGAAAAATGTTCTTGGCACTTAACCACACCTTAAATTAGCCGAATCCGCATTTGCCACAGAACACCATACAGTACGTATGCTAACTCATGAAGTGCCAACCGAAATTCGGAAATGCGTTTTTGTCTCGAAAGGATTGAGTAAGCAGGGTTGTAAAACTAATCATCGCACGGCATAAGTCTATGATAATTCAGTTACCTCCGAATGCTGGTTTTTAAATGAACTTCCCTCCAGCTGCAGGCAAAAACCGCACTCTGTAAAAATTGACTACCTATGCAGCATGAAGTTTTCTCATTGATTTTCGATGTCCCTAAAAGTCCACTTATATTTCATGGAAAGCACGCATAAACATACTCATTCTTTTACTCGTTCGATAGGAA